CTCTCTCTTTTTCTTTCACCCCTTCTTCCTCCCTCGACGTCCTATAATTTCCAAGCAACCAAGCATCTCTCATGGAAGATATGTATGCGGGGACTTGTTGATTTTTCCAAAACTCTTCTCACTGGCCGTCTGTTGCAGCCGCTGCCCGACGTGTTCCTGGGGATCACCATGAGGGCACCGCCCTTCATGGATCGTGACTCCGAGTTCAATCTACGGAGATACATCGTCGCGTATCCTTTGTACTCGATGCTCTCTCATGTTCGGATGTTATTTAATTAATGCATATAGCGTATGCTCCCGAGAAAGATCTTCAAAGCTACATTGTGTACATCTCGCTTTCGATTCTGCTTTTTCCTTGACAGACCCACTCACAGGTACGGCGGCAATCTCATCGCGCGTCACTCGAAAGAGTTGGCCGTGTTCACCCTCCATTCGTCTGACGAGGTACGATATCAGCGACGCCAACACATAAGTATTAACATGACCTTGACCCATAACGTCACATTACCCCCTCCCCCTCCCCCTCACGACCCGCGTCCCGAATTAACATGCATGCCACCAAAGTTTTTCTCCTCCGACTGGTGTTGACACACGCGTGTGGAAGCGAGATCGTGCGCGGGCCAAAAACTCGTTTCGTATTTCCAGCGTCGTTTTGCCCCGCCCCTTTCCCTACTCTACCCGCCTCAGACCGTCACAAAGCCGCACAGCGCATGCCTTTGCCTTTGTTTCTCTATGGCCTTTTCTCAATATGAAAATCTTAATGCCCCCCATCTCCTCTCGCACGCGCGTGTCTCCTCGTCCCCATGACCCTTCTGTCTCCTCCGGGTCACTGCCCCCGTTTTCTCTCCCCCGCCCCCTCACTCATCCCCTCTCGTCTCTGCGAGAATCGCTGATGTGTTTTGTTTCCCCAGACTTTCTCCGGCGTGAGCGACGAGGGCCTCGACGTGGACGTCGAGTGGGTGTGGGACTGCATCCGGAAGGGGGAGCTCCTGCCCGCGCAGCGCTACACCACCTACGGCTACCGCGGGGGCTACAAGGGCTACCGGGGCCGGACCCCGGACTCGGACGAGTCCAACGGGCTCATGGACTTCTACTGAATGGCTGGCCCTGCTGCACGTGCACAGTCCTTCGCGCGGGACAACCATGTTGCGCAACCCTCTCCCAACCTTCTCTCCCAATATAGCCTTCTCTCCCAATATCCTTCTCTCCCGACCTTCTTTCCCTATAGCCTTCTCTCCCAATTCTCCCCCCCCCCCAAAAAAAAACACCTCGTTTTACTGGGTTTTGCAAATTCCAATCAGATTGTGAATTTTTGCTCCCACTCAATGTGGAGAAATATGCATGCTGCGTTCTTTTGTAAATATGGGGTAGCTGCAGCTACATGTGCGCTGAGTATTTTTGGCTGTTTCTTCTACCGGTGTGTTCTTTTGAACTGCCGTCCTAGCTGTAAGGTACTCGTTTATTGAACGGTACAAAAGATGATTACAAGACTGATACCACTATGAAACCACTGATACCACTTCTTTCTGAAACGCCCCACCATATATGTGTTTGGTATAATGTTTTGTCAAGGAGGCAAATAATCGCTTTTTTTGTGTGTGTTTTGGTTGAAGCAAGGAATTTATTTCAGTTGAACGCTGCACACTCTTCTCCGGTTGAACAGGGTGGTAATCACAAGAGAACAGACATAAAGGAAACAAACATTATCGGAAACGTGTCGGGTCCCGACACGAGTGACTGGTCTACTCTGCTTAGGGCATAATTATTTCTCTTAACTCTAGCGACCCTGCGGACCGCGGCGCCTGCTCACCCGGCCGTCGGTCCGCAAGGGCGGTGGGGTGGCGGGCGGAGCAGCTGACTAATAGCGATACCGTAAAACTAATCTCCTTCCAGCTCGATTAAGGGCCGAGTCAAAACATTGGAATAGAACGTAAACAAAACATTCGGAGCTGCGCGGGGCTGCGGCGGGGGCCGGCCGGCGCGCGTCTTAGCCGAAGCACGATACGGCGTTGAAGGCGCACTGCTTCCAGTAGGAGCGCTTGCGCTGCAGGTCCGTCACGTCCATCTCCTTGCGCAGCTTGCTGACCATCTGCTTGGCGAACAGGTAGTTCATGAGGGCCGTCTCCACGCTGCCGTCGTCGTCCATGAGCTGCTGACAGAAAGAAGAGAAGGATGTTATTATTGAGATTCAGGACTGTGAGATATTCAGAGACTGCAGCAGGCTTCCGGGGCTATTATGGTGAGCTGGAGAGGGGAGATTATAAGTTCAAACTACAGACGCCTCGGGTGAGGGAGGGGCGACAGGAACGTTGATTTGATTCACTGATTTTAGGGATTATTACAATTGAAAAGGGGGGCGGGGGCGAGCGATGCTGGGTCTCCTAGCAGTCTTCGTGGAGCAGGGCGCGGCATCTGCTGCGGGGGAGGACAGAGAGCGATTTGGTCGCGACGGGGTCTGAGACAGGGCGGGGTCCCTGCTGGATGGAGGAATGACATTAGTCGCGATCGGGCGCGGCCCGCCCCGCTCCGCTCCGCCCCGCCCAAGCTAACGAGCGCGTTAATTAGTGCAGGCGCTAGGCCGGGCGCTGCGCCTCTAAGCTGTATTTTATTCCTTCCTTTCTTCACTCTGTTAACACGATCCTTCCCCTCTCTCTCTCTCTCCCGTGCCTCCCTGCTTCCCTGCTACGGTGAAGCCGACACCCCGCCGGCGCGCTCGCCGCCCCCGTGCCTGCCTGCTTGCTGCCTGCTGGGCCGCGTCGGCGTCGGCCCTACCTCGTGGATAAAATGAGTGGGCAGCCCTCCTTGTCACCGCCGCTGCGCCGCCCCCGCCCCGCCCACGACGCCCTCCCCCTGGCGTGCCCTTGCTCCAAACACACCGATAGAGAACAGACTCGACACGACGGGTCCGCCCCCCGCGGGGCCCCCCAGGGGAGGTCGCGTGAACAATGACGGAACACTCCTGCTGACCACCCACGCGGACCAGGGGGTACCTCTCTACAACCCGGGAAGGGAGGGTCCTCGCCGGCGCTGACCGCACAGCATAGCGCGGGACCGAGAGCCACCTCGTCGGCGACCCGTGAACAACGCCCGCGCCCGCGGCACACGCCGGACCCTGACTGCGTACTGCCCACTCCAGTATACTGCCGTCTCTCTCGTACTTCGTGGCGTGACCCTCTGGTCCCGCGGTGACCGCTCCTCCTCCTCATCCTTCTCCTCCTGGCCGTGGACGAGATCGACCTCGCTCCACGTGGCACACTCTGTGGAGGATGACGGCCCAGAAGGTGCGCGCTGACATTTCTTTTTGACTTTTTGACTATTAAAGAATTTGATTGGGTCACTTAAAACTGCACATCTTTTATGTAAAACAAAACCAGTGTCGACAATTTTGTGAGACTGGAAGTTTAGTGGTGTGTAATAATGCAATAGTCGCCAGAATTGAGAAATAATCAGAATCTAGAACAATCGATTTTTTTAGTATTGATCTGCCCTTTGCTTGTTAATAAAGACTGATGGTTTTTGTTGTTTTTCTACAGTTTTGAATGGTATTTTGAATAATTTTTGTATCGGTTCAAAGGTTTAGTGAAATGTCAATATACTAAAAATTTAGAATTATGAAGTTGTTTTGATAATAACCAGAGTGTTTTAGAGCCACGTCAGCGTCAGGAGTAATTCAAGCACAAGACTGCGTGTTTGGTTGGACGCTCTCGCGTGATGATTCACTTGACTAATCTTTTGTCTTGTTGCAGCTGGTTACTCGCTCGTCTGGTAGGCGTTCTGGAGGTGCTTCACGTGCACCCCCCTTGTCGGCTGGTCCCTCTGTAGCCCACGCTAAAAGCAGGTTCTTGGTTTCCAAGCAAAGAATCCGCGCTCCAAGCAAAATTGGTGATTTTCAAGCAGAATGGAGGATTTGTTTGGAAACCAGTCGAATCTGCGTGGAAAACGGGAGCGCGCCTGCTTGGAAAATAGTGCGCTCTGCTTGGAGACAGTTAGCATTCTGCCTATAAACCAAGCAGTCTGCTCTGAATCGAGCCTTACGCCCGGACTGTAGCGCGCTGTCGTCGTGCAACGGGGCACGGCCAGAAACCAACAGACATTTTCAAATACAAATAACCTTATGTGTTTGTGTAGCTGTAACTGAGTGGAGTGTCCTCTAGTTTTAATTTTCCATGCATGTCACATACGCAGTACGGTACCACGCTCCTGGTACAACACGCATTCTTCCTGTCCACTTATACCCGCTTTCTCCTGTTGCAGGCTCTTCTTGTGCTGCCCCAACTCGAAGGCTGATGTCTCCCTACTTGCACGTGCGCGCTGGTGTCGGGGGGACTCCTTAACCCTATCGCCACTCTTAGGCTTTCTGACGGTGTTCTCGTGCTGTTGCAGCCGCTGACCCCGGCACAGCGAGAGAGACAGCGCCCACAGACCGCCCTACGAACGCCCCGTGTTCGCTGCACGAGGTGAAGCTGGACGCCGTGGACGAGAAGACCTCACTCCACGAGGAGAGACGGTACGGTGAGCCCGAGGTATATTGTTTACATTGCAATTGTGTTTTGTAAGTAACACTATTGTAGACATCCGTGGCCACATGCGTAGTAATCAAAATCACTAGACTGTGTGC